AAAAGTGGCGCCTCACCAGAACCGAGGGATAAACCACTATCGTATTACATAGCCTCCCTCCTCTTTTGAGCGTCGTCCCCGGCGCTCCCACAGGTCAACCTCCCGCGTCAGCCATTACAACGTAGTCGGTGCAGTAAAAAAACACCCACGAGCCAACCGTGCCAGTCACCAAATTAGCGCGCAACTGAGGGGATAGTTGACCTCAACGTCACTGATCCCTCTTGGCAGCTTGACTGGATCTGGGGTTTCGTCCGGTTTAGGGATTTCATTCAGGACGGGGAACTGCGCCGGCCATCATGCGTGTCCATAGATAGATGCAGGAACACTAGCCTAAAAGCATATTTGAATAAGAAAATGCAAGATTTAAAACAGGTCCATGGGGGACGGTAGGGGAAATCCGTAACGAAACTTCCAGATGGTTCACGGCTAGTGTCGCTTCAGTTGTTAATAGCTTTTCTGCAGAACACGGGACTGGGAGAGATGCCGAAGGTAGACGTCAACATCAACCCTTCTGTTAGGAGTCATCACCATTCTCCCATCCGTAGCATATGTACTTCTTCCGTCCCACTAAGGCTTATCACGCAGAAGTGGAAAATCAGGATACATGTCTTTCAAGATCGGGTTCGCTTTCCGCTGCCACCAATGTAGCGTCCCGAGACTCCCTGAAGACGAAAGAAGACAAAATACTCGGGCAGAATATATATACTCAGCACGGAGAAAGTGTCTGGGCTATTGGCATGGCCCAAAAGGCCAGCCCGCCCATCGAGGTACAAGGGGGCTAATTAGGAGTACAAAAGTGGCGCCTCACCAGAACCGAGGGATAAACCACTATCGTATTACAGTTATAACGAACGGAATGTTAAAATGCCGTAAAAGTCCAGGCAACTTGCGGTGTTCTTGGCATTGTTGGAGAATGTTAGTGCAAAAAAGAACGCCAAATTGACCTCATTACATCACTGTTACTTCTGATTTGTAGAGGAGGACGGGGATGAGGGGATTCCTCATGAGAGTCCTAATGAACGTGATGGGAAAGTAAAGGCATGTACACCAACCACATTGTGTACACGGGCTGCTTTGATAATATTTTGTTGCAACGATTGCAACAGCTTTCGTCTGCCGATTCCTGCTGGACTGGAAAGCTCACTTCCAGAGCTATTGCCTCCTCAGCAATGGGATCCTCCTTCGCATTAGCCCCTCGGACGCAGTTCAAACCAGCAATCACTGCCTCCAAATTCTGCCATAATAAGTGTTCGTGATCATCGGGCTCGGAGGTACAGTGTTGATACTTATTTCCACTGAACCGACACAGGCTTCTTGTCGTAGTCCTTTGCATGCAGTACCGGAAAGCCCCCATTCCAAAGGACATTATTCTGCACTTGTTTCTGAGGGTACTTTGCTCCCAACAGCCACTACATCCAACAATCAGAGAGGATGTTGTTAGCTTGTAGAATATTAAACTTCTGCTCTTTAGTGTTAGAGAACTTGCAAAATCCGGGGACTTCTAGGCGGTGATTGTGGAAGTTGGGTGGCGTACTGTAGCCCTTCCGGCCTTTCCAGAAGTCGTGACCGAAATACGGGGACCGGAGAAACTTCATCGTTTAACATGCAGAAAAAAGTGCTTAATCGGCGCGGGGCGCTGCGAGGCATTTGTGGGTGTTCATCAATTGCCTATCTTTTTATGGTGTCGAGGTGAATAAAATACAAGTTATGAATATAACCAGTTGTGGTGAAAAATAATTGTGTAGAAGGCCCATGTGCTGTCATAAAAGCATTGACAAGTTTAAGAACATGCTTTTAAATAAAAACATTTCTTTTCAAGTCATATGCCCACCACTCAGATGCACAGCTAGAAATCGGGAAAACGCTGAGCCATTTTATTTGAGTTTATGCCCACTAGATTGTTCAGCGTGCTATCGGAAGAACAAGGAAAGGTTGCCGACCGAACTCAAGGTTTTTAGTGAGTGTATTTATGCTGATTGTTTTAAGCAACCTGTGTATGTCGCACTTTCAAGAAGGATTTTTGCAGTGTGTTTTGTTGTTGGGATTCTGCGTATTTCCCATCTTAGTAGAACCGAGTTTGTGCTTCTAGATTTTGTGCGCATTTTTCGTTAGCTTTGGACTTTAATGTCCTTTAAGTCCAATAGAACTGTATGTCTTGATTGACATGCTTTTTGACCGCAAGGTATTTTTTTGAAGCTTCCTTGGAACACCTTAGTTTCCTGCTCACTTAAGCGTACTTTGTAGCCATTGTTCTGCCGCCATCTGGATGATGTTTAGCTTGCTTACTGTATTTCAGATTCAACGATGTCAGCACAGTATTGCAACACTTCTTCAGACAATGTCTTTACCAGAATCAAATCATCTCTAGTACAATTGAATGACATTTTTAGTCATTTGCTATCGGGAGAGAGTCCCCAAGACCGTTCAGGTGGTTGTGTATCTTCCGCTATGGTTAAATAATGATTTTCATTTCCCATTTATTTACCACACTTGAGATTTGTTTGTGGAATTTATTGGTAGGTCTTAGGGGCAATACCTTTTGACGCCTTCTACCATAGACTGAATCATTTTGGAAAAGTTTTTGCTATATTAATCATGTTTGTTCTCTTCCCGTAAATGATTACGGCTTCATATTGATAATGGTGAAGGCATTAAATTGTCGAAGTGCAATTGCCATTTTTTTGCACGAACATGTTCAAGTTCAGGTTGGACGTTTTAGTAATGAGTGCAATATGTTGCAGCCGGACCAAGGTCTCCGCTCCCGTCTCTAATTACTTCGAACAGCGTTGACGTTTCTGGGTCACCTTGTCGCACGATCAAGTCTATTAATAATGTATGGCGCCATTTATTCCATCTTATAATTAAATTAAGTGTAACCTCATCAATGTGGGTGGGCTTTGCTTTTTCTCGGTTGAATTGCATGATTTTTTGATTCATAGGTCCTGCGTATGTATATTGAATCATGTAATTTGTCCTGCATCGAATAGTGCCTGTAGTTACTATCTGAGCATATATTATCCATATGATCACTATTGAATAATTTAACATGAAGACAAACCTAGTTCAAGTAGGATAGTAGCTGGAACTGTGTCGAACTCGAAGCGTTGTGTGTTTTATGTACACCTGCACAAAATTCATGCAAACGAATTTGCTGGTCATCCTCTCTATCAAATTATTGACAGTATCTATGATGATTTTAGGAACATTGATTGGAAATAGTCTTTGTGGGAAAATGAGTGCTTCTAGCGCATCTTCTGGACGACAAATTGGTCAGATTTGCAGCCGATTCTCTTGGCAACCACTTCTTTTTTCTCCTAGCCTGTCACTAATCCTACATAAGTGGACCTTTTTAGTTCTTGCTATTTACGAGAAGGTTGTTTTAGCTGGTGTCGCGCCTTACTTTGTGAAATGACGGCATAATTTGAAAAGTTAATTGACTGCTATCCTAGACAGTTTGTGATCTTACTTTGTTTTCCCAGAGAGATCGGGTTATGCAGCTGCTGGAAGATCTCAAAGAGGATTTTGGCCTAGTCTATTCACAAGGAGGACGGCATGATCGCAAGTCTGCAAAGCTCTTACAGAAGCTTAGACCACTGCATATTAAGGGAAAGGTTGGTTTCACCTCTTCTTAAAAAGCGGTGAATCGTAACCACATTCCTTCACCGAAATTGGCACCAGATCAGTCTGAGGGATGTCTTGCACGATTGTAGGACGGGAAAGCTTGGATGTATGCTGTCGTTTCTTTTATGTGGCTCTATTAGGGCTTGTTCGTCGGTTGTGGAATGGAGCGCTCACACCGGATTCAATAAAGCAAATCCATCTTTGTAGGATTTTTATGGTCGGAGGTACTAGATGTAAATTGTCCTATGATAAAACTTTTTAGATAAACACTAGACATTTCTGTTCACCCAGGTGGATAAAGGTGTCTCTAAGATTACTCCTTCAGTGATATGTAAATCCATTTACTTTGGAATAGCCAAGACAGTGGTTGTGTGAATGATGATCTTGCGTGATAAATGGGCTATTTTTATTACAAGGAATTATCCTAAGATTACTGCAACTAAACCACCTTTTAGATTTCTTCATATTCAGAAGTGTCTGTTGAGGCTCTGAAAAAAACTAATTTGAAGTAAATTGTGCTTTTTAGACTCGATTTAGGAGACGTAATCAGGTAAGTCGACACCAAGTGTCAAATAGTTAATCAAAACCTAAGTCTGGCTACTTAACCTTTCGTTTACATCAGCAAGCATAGGGCGCATATGCCAAATTTGGTATGATTTTGGTGAATTTTAGAGCTAACTGACTTCTGATTCCGACTGTATTGTTTCGTTTGAAATTAGTTTATGTGGGGATTCTTTACTAGCCAGTGGTATTTTCTTACACAAGGTAGCAGTGGCCCCACTCTGGCTTCATCATATTGGTCCGACCTTTTAGTGTTGAATTGGCTTCCCGTTTTGTTTGTTTGACACTACTTTGCACCTTGTAGTTTTAGAGTTGATAGTCATATTTCTGTTGATGTTTGTATTACTTTCTCCATTCCCTATGGGTCTGTCACTAACTTAGCACTCCCGTGGTCCATCGTAAGTTCATAAGCGCCTTGGGTAGGTTGCTTGTATAACCTCTTGATGCGTGGTGCTATTTCACATAGACGCATCAAACTCCGCATTGACTTCTGAGCTCACACTTGTCCAATCCCACGGATGGGATTAATGGGTTGTCTTCAAACGTTTTCGTATCTTAATATCATCATGTTAATTTTTGTTGTTGTCATTTCATATAATCACCTCGACTTTTGATAACGATGAGAGTACACTCTTGGTGTGCGATTGAGGTTTTAAACATGTTTCTACCCACTACATTCTTCTCTCACTAGCTTGGATGGCTCAGAAGGGGAAGAGGAGGTCTCATTGGAGGTGCGTGAATTCAGGTTGCTATTTATGTTAACCGGAAGTAGTTTCGAGTGCCACAAATTTCCATTCAATGCTTGTTCGGAATTTTTGCCACCAATGTGAGCTCGCTATCTAGAACAATTCCCCATTTCATAGATTCACTGAAAGATGGTGGTGCTAAAAGCTTTTGCATATTTGCTGCCCTATGACCATAAAGTACTGTCTTATTTAAGTCCTTTCAGTTAAGCATATAGCGTTACTTGCCTCTTATTTCACACTCACAGCCGTAAAATGCTAGTCTTCAATTTCGATGGCTTGTTTCTTCATTCTAAAATCTATCATAAGGTATTGAAATAGCTAGACAGTTGTGGTGACGGCATTAATTTCACCAAAAACTGCGATCGTCTGACTTGCATACGGGTGCATGTCTGAAATCTCCGCCAGCAGGCACTAGAGTAAGGTGTAATCCTGGCCTACACCGTAGTTTATATTGGATCGTTGTGCCCCAGTCTGTTATCGCGTTGCTAAAAAATTATTTCAAGAGGCTTGGAATGTAATGACAGCGAAATTTAAAGCACACTTCTTTGGAGCTTTGCAATCCTATTCTTCGTTTAGCGCATCGGCACATCGTGGGTGTGGAGTGCACCTCAGCAAGCGTTTGAATGGGATTGCTCAATTGCTGGTTACAAGGAGATAGCGAAAAATGGAGATGCACACATTGTATTTGAAATTAAAACTGTGGTAAGCTTTTTTTTGGGGAGTGGAGGTTTTCACACTGCTTTTGTGTTAGATGTCCAGCACACTGTATGATAGATGTCAGCAACTGAGTAGTCAGTACCAATCACCCACGTTGACAAGAAGTATCGAGGATGTAAGTTAATTTTGCCTATTTGTTATTTAACTTTACGAGCATTATTCTTGGGTTGTAAATATTTATAGGAGCGGCGGGTTACAGTATTTCATAGGTTCAACGATTTTAAAACGCTCTTTGGAATCCTCGTTGCCGCTTACCCTTACCTTTTCATACCTCCCCTTCCTCCTAATCGAGTTGCCAGTGAGTTTTGGGTTGGACTCCTCTCTTATCTATCGATACGGCATTCACATGTTGTCATGTGGACTTTAGGTTTGAGGAATTTGGCTGCTTTTTATTTTGTGTATTTTTCACTTTAAGCAATAAAATCGACATGGTCAGTATTGTAATCGCATCTATTTGCCATATCTATTTATGTGGGCTTTTTGTATCTGCAACAAAAGAAATTGTGCTAAGTTTTGCTAAAATTCTGGAGATGCACATAGTTGGTTTTACATTCGTCCACTCTTCGTTTTGTACATCTTATTCTTGTTAAAAATTATTGCAGAACTACGTGATGAGTTGAGTTTATACAGAAGGAGACATCTTGAATTATGGCTTCGCTACTTCGCTATTCATCCTATTCTCAGCCGA